GTGGGGGAGATGTGCTCAATCCATGATGGCCAGGAAGAGGAGCTAGAGCAGGAGCGGGAGGGGAGTGGGAGCAGGGAAGGGGAAGAGAGAGGAGAGGAGAGGAGAGGAGAGGAGAGGAGGAGGTAGAGCCACGACAAGAACATACCCTTCCAGGTCATGCTTCCTGTGACTTGTCTCCTCAGACAGGTCCTTACTGCCAAAAGCACAGTTAGCTCTGAACTCATCAATGAACTAAGCCACTGAAGAGTAGAGTGTCCCAAAGATCCAGTCACCTTCCAAAATCCTCACCTCTGAACAAGAAATTTCTGTGGGACATTTTAGATCTCAACCATTACAGTGAAATATACTTTAATTAAGTTGAATCTACATGATTTGGTTTGTAGAGGAGATGAGGGTAATCCCTTGTATAGCCAACATTAAGTTTTTTTTTTTTTTGAGGAGGGCTTACAGGGATGGAATCTCAGGCCTGTGCATGCTAGGCAAGTGCTCTATCACTCTTAAACTATTAAGAAATTTAGTGTAGCTTGTCAAGGTAGGCAACCAGTATGTGGATATTAAAAGGAATTTAGCCATTACCAGAACCAACTGAATTAACCTGACCAGAGGTATTTGGAGCCTAGGAAACAGTCTCTACCACCCATGTGTAATCCAAGAAACTTAGCCTCAAGAAATCCTTATTTTTTGCTCTTTCAGAGATGGAGGTATGAAAACCAAGTACAAATGCTGCACATTCTTTAGGAGAAAACTAGCTATAGCCTCCACATTTTGTACGTATGTCTACTGCCTTGAAACATCACTGACACCCAGTCCTTGATACAAGAGCTCAGTATGTTGTGTTGGGTGTGCTCAGCACATTTTCTTTCTAAATCTGAGCAATTAGTTTCAGGATCTCCTGGCTTGTCAAGCACTTTTATATTTGCTGACTTAAAATTATGATTTCTCCAACAAGAGGATTTTCTAGTTTTCAAGACTGTTTTTCACTTAATTTTAAATAATATTTTTGTACTCATTCATGAAGTAATCATGTGAGATTTGTACTTTAGCCTTTGGCTGGGCACTGGTAAGGTATTGATGACCTTGCCCTTAGGAAGCTTATGCACAGAACATATAATTCTGCGAAGACTAAACATAATTATACAAAGATTTATAGCTAAACATATGCAAATATTTATAATTACAATTGATAAAATTTATGGATGAAAAATAGTATATGGAGGATTAATCCTAATCTGGAGTGGTACAGAACAGACAAAAGGACATTGAAGTTGAGACGTCAAGTATCCACTGCAGGGAGCCACATGGCTGGGGCATGCAGGGCCATCAAACATGTTCAGAGGGAAACTAGGAAACTGAAAGAAGCAGCAGGAAAGATGTGGACTTCAGAGAGCCAGGGGGCGGGGTGTGCAAGAGGAGATGGAAACCAAGACAGCAGGGTGAGTGTGCTCAGAACTTCTAATCCACAATGATGCTGCTGCATTTCATCTTAGAAAATATGGTCAGCACTGAGAGAGTTTTAAGCTAGAAACTGGTGAATACATTTGTTTTTCTTTCAATTGGTGCTTCAGCTTGGCCCTTCTGTGGAGAAAGCATAGTAGCGAAGTAGGATCTGAGAACAGGGGCCTTTGGAGGATGGCACACTGAGTTTGGGAGGGGGAGATGAGTTTGGAGATAAGTAAAGGGATTTCAATGATATTTGAGAGGTCGAGCTGCTGATGGACTTAAGGATCTTTGTAAGTGCAAGGCATGATGGTCTGTTTTCAGCACAGTGTTACAACAGCATGATTATTCGGGCAGGAAAGTACAATTGAAAGCATCTTGGAGATTTACTCCTGAGCAAGCACCCAGTACTTGGTGGTGTTATTTCCAATGCACAGCACAATTTCTTAAACAATATTCTTTGGCCATCTCTCTTATTGTTGTGATTTGGGTTTTTTTGCAAGGGAGCAATACAGTACAGGACACATTTGTAAGATTAATTTATAATGAATCACCCAAAGAATCATATACAAGAAGTGCAGGAAATCTGTCCATACAGTAAAGACCAAAGAATCCATCTAAGGGCCTGGATCCTAATGCCCTGCATGAGTCCACCTGAAGACCCAGAGCCCATAATAATGCCTCCCACAAGTCCAACTGGAGGCCTGGAGCAACAACTAAGTCTCAAGCAGGCTCACTTCATGGATCTGTGTTGGAAAGACCCAAAGGTCAGTGAGGGAAGCTGGAAAGTCTATGCCAGGGGGATGAAGGCTCTGTGCTAGCAGGATGAGGGATCTGAACTGGAGCCAGGAAGCAATGCTCAAGGTAAACACCAGAATTCTCCTCCTCCCAAAGAACCACAGCCATCCTCAGCAGCAGTGATGTCCTGAGCTCTTCCAGCAATGAGTAAAGTTGAATTCCCATCAGGAAAGCCAATGCAACAAGCTTCTCCATGAGGCTGAGTAGTGTACCATCTTCCTCTCTGGAACCAGGAAGCGATGCTCAAGATGAGGACCAGAGCTCCCCCAAAATGAACCATAGCCATTCTCAGAAACAACAAAGGTTCTGAGCTCCTCTGGCAACAAGAACAGCCAAGTTCATTAGGAAAGCCAGCATGACAAGGTTCTCCAGCAGAATAGCCCAAGAGAACCAGCAGCTTCCTACAGCTCCAACAGCTTCTCCAAACAGCATCCCTAACACTCTCTCCACAGCTTCTCCAGCTCTTCCTCTTGTCCTGCTGGCAACAACCCTTGCAGGGGGGCACCCATACCCAGCACCAGGCTAGTTCATTTCAGCTGGGTGTAACAAGTTGACCACCAGTTAATGATCCACTATACTTACTGGCTTCCACACGCTCAGGAAAGAGCTTCCCTTCACTGGGTGCTCTCGCACATTCTTTTTTATTAGTAACCACAATGAAAACTGTCATTTATGGAGCCTTTGGCTCACCCATTCTTTAGTTTCCAACCAAATGAGTCTCATGCTGCCTCAGTTCTTTAAGATCAGGATTTATCTAACATTTCTGGTATCCTGAAATCCTCTTTTTGCTGACTGTCAGAATTTCTCTTGGGGGGGAAAAAAAAATCTTCAAAGCCACTTTAGCAAGCAAAAGCAACAGGGAGAGATATTGCAAATATGCTAATGTTTGTTGTCACTGCTGTCATTGGCTATTTCTTCACCACAGTTATATACATGAAGAAGAGATATGTGTATGTGTGCTAGCTTTGAGCAAATGAATAAATGGGCCCACTGTGATGAAAAGAAGTAGGGCAAAGAGGGTCTGAGAAACCAGGAGAGCATTTGAGTTTGACTTTTCCTTCAGCTGGTCTAGAGAAGCTGTCCAGGAGAAGTGTGCTAGGGCCTGCTTGGCTCAGGCAAGCCAACTGTCCATTTTTAGGAATTTTAGATCTGTTCATGATTAACAATGAAACTGTATCAGTGTATAGTTGAATACATTGCATTGAAAACAAAGATAATACAATAAATATTCCTCACTCATTCTTGCTTATACTTTGCTATTCTCTCTGCCCTCGAGATGAATTCTGGCAAGTCTGTGCGGCTGAAGCGCCATCAATGTTGTGCTGCTGAGCAGTTCTTCACTGTAGTGATGTCAGATCGGTAGCTGGAAATTGGCCATGTTTGGAGTAAACTACAAAAATTGGCAAATGCTGTGTATCAGTCAAGGCTTTCTCCTCCCCTCTCGGAGCCAAATGTTAAGCATTTATGACAACATCAGGTGCGACAAGTGGCTCAAGAGGCAAACCTGGGCTGGAGAAACCACAAGAGGCATCAGAACACAGCCGTGCGGGGCTTTGTGGATTGGCCGCAGTATCCTGCACTTGGAAGGACCCTGTGCGTGGCTTGCTATGCAGCTGCTGCCATCTGAAAATGCTCTTTTTTTTTTTTGGTGGTACCAGGGATTGAACTCAGGACCTTGAAAGTTCTTAATTTTTTCAAACGGGGCTGCATGCTTTCATTTTGTGCTGGGTTCATACAAGTGTCAGGGAGCCTTCAGTTGTCAGGGGTACTCAGGCTCAGCCACTGCTCCCCATTCCTCCAAACCCAAATTTCTGTCTCTGAGCTGCGTCGCAGTGTGCTTGTACAGCTGTTTTTCTTGTCCGCCCTTTGACCTGTGTAACCCCACCACCGGCTCGTGGAACTTCTCTCTTCTATTATTGTCTCTGGATTCTCTATTCTTTGGTCATGTTTTGGAAAATTAGTTACTATCATGGCATTACTGTGTCCTGAGGCTTCAGTAGAAGATTTCTCCCCGGGTTACACTGCCTCACACACACCATTGCATTGACACGGCACAGTGGCGGAGGAGAGTTGGAGTAGGGCAGAGCTGGGTTGGACCCTCTGGTGGGGCCTCAGGTAAAGGTCTGGGGTCTCTACACTTCAGGGTCCCCATCTGTACTGACTTCTGGAGATTATTGTGAATGTTAAACTAGATAATCTGTGGCAAGTACCTAACAATGCCTGGTGCATGGTAAAGTGTTCAGTTAATGACATATTATTCTTACTCATGTATTCATGAATTAGGAAAACCTGGTCATAAATATGGACCGGACACACAGCAGCAGGATCTTGGGAGGAATTCGCAACACTGGCAGAGATGAATGGCAAGATTTCAAGTTTCTACAACAGTGTCTTGCTAAGTCACTCAAATACACCGGGTGCATTCTCCTGCCTCTGCCTCCCAGAATACTGGGATTACAGGTGTGCATCACCAGACTTTCTTCAGCTTTTTAAAGATAATTTTCTTGGTCCCACAATATGTGTGTCCTACTCTGCACTCGACAAAACGCTTTCCTGAGGTTCTTAATACTTGCATCTGATAATTTGCACGGCCATCCTGTTCACAGGCTCTGGGACACAGTCCCTAACCAAGAAGCTCTCCTCCTGGACAAATCTCTTGGTAGCCACCAAGGGCCCAGTGCCCTGCGCACCCGCCCCGGGAGGCGTCGCTGTGTGTCGGGATCTCAGGCCTCTGGCCCCGGTGTGCGGGCGTCCGGCCGCAGGGCTGGAGCTCCGCTGGGTCCCCGCGAGGCTGCGGTTGCCGTGGAAACGGCGGGAAGTAACAACCCGGCTCCCCAGGGCTGAGCGCGGCCCACAGAGGGAAGCAGGCGGTGGAGGGACGACCAGGTCGCCACGGTGCCAACAAGTCGCAGCCTCGAGGGTCCGCAGGTACTTCGGGCGGGGCCCTGGGACCCCATACTGCCCATGGGGCGCAGGCCAGGCCCACGGCGCCTCGCCACCGGGCGGCGCTGGTCTTCGGGGGTGTGGGACACGCGAGGGTTGTGTCTCTGTCTCTCTGTGTCTCCCTCTGTCTTTCTGTCTCTGTGTCTTTCCGTCCTGTCTCTGTCTCAGTGCATGTTAGCTTTCTGTTTTTCCAGTAAGACAAGTCTAGGCAACTCCAGCCCAGTCTTAACTTATTTCGGGAGTAAACAGTGTATCCAGTATTGGGGGAGGCAGGTGGGAGCGGAGAACACTAAGCTGCTTACACGCAGCGACAGCGGGGACGCGGTGGTGGTTCCGCTCGCGTTCCGCGCACTCAGGGTGTGTGTGCGCCCGAGTGTCCCAGGCCCCGACCCCGGCCCGTGCGGGCCGCAGGGGCGGACCCGCACCTGTGCCAGGTGAACTGGCCGCAGGGAGCAGGTGCGGCCAGAGGGTCGCTGAGCCCTTACTTAGCCCAGGGTCGGGAACTCGGCGCCCCTCCCCTCCCGGCCCGGCTGTCAGTCCCGTCCTTTGCAGGAGGCGACCCGCGCCGCAAGGCCGCCGGGGCAGAGGCGGCGCCGGCCCGGTCCCCTGGGGAAGATGAGCGGCCCGGGTGCCAGGTCCAGCCACCTGTCGCAGCCAGTGGTGAAGAGCGTGCTCGTGTACCGCAACGGGGACCCGTTCTTCGCGGGGCGCCGCGTGGTAATCCACGAAAAGAAGGTGTCCAGCTTTGATGTGTTCCTGAAGGAGGTGACGGGTGGCGTGCAGGCGCCCTTTGGGGCGGTCAGGAACATCTACACGCCGCGCACCGGCCACCGCATCCGCAAGTTGGACCAGATCGAGAGCGGTGGCAACTACGTGGCCGGCGGCCAGGAGGCCTTCAAGAAGCTCAAGTGAGTGTGACTGTGGGTGATACAAATCGACGAGTGACCCCCTCTCCATCTTCTCCAGGGCTGTTTGTGTAGGGGGCTACAACTTGGGTGCTGCGTCTCAGGGACCTGTTGCAGCTGGTGCGGAAGGGGCTTTAGTTGGGTGGCAGTAGGTATAGGCTTAAAGTTTGTGTAAAGGCGTCTTTGCAAGTTTAGCGATCAAACAGACCCCGGATTTATGCTTTTTCTGTCCTGCTTTTTCCCCTTGCATCCCCCACCCCCCACACACCTTTTTTAGAGCCCATCTTTTTAGTTTAAGTGAAGATTTCTTAAAGATCACTTTCTAAGTGTGATATGCTCTATTTTCACGAGGAGAAAACTAGTTTGCATCCACTATTGTTTTTATTTTTGGAATCTTTGGTTCCTAGTGCTGGGAAGAGCAGGGCTTCTGTGACACACCTGCCAGCGTGCGCTAGTAACTTCCTGCTTGCAGAGGTTTAGTGCTTGCTGCATTATTTACCTGTCTGTCTCCAGCTGGAAGGACAGGGATCCCCATCTGCTCCTCGCAGGGAGCTCGCTGGTGGCAGATGCTCTGTGACTTAGCAAACCCTTCTGAGGTCTGTGAGGGAACAAGGATGAATAGGACACGATCCCTTGTCTCTCTGAGCTCCTACCCTAACGGGACAGACCATGTGTGCTCCAACTTTTAATGCAGAGTTTGAGGGATCTGTGCATGAAGTAAAGCAGTGGAAGTCGTATCTCAGTGAGAGCCAGGAGCGAGGGTTGGGCAATGCGGGACAGGTGGAATTTTGTACTTCACAAATTTTTTTCTTTACAGCTTTACTGAGATGTCTTTTACAAAACATTTAATTTATCCATTTCAGTGATTTTCACAGAATTGTACAACCATCACCACAAACCAATTTTAGAACATTTCTGTCACCCCCCCAAGAGATCTGTACCTCTGTTTCCCCTTCCTCCATTATCTGTTAAGCACTAATCTTTATTTCTATGGATTTGTGTAGTTTGAACATTTCATATTAAGTGGAATTAGACCTTCGTATTAAGTGGAATAATTTCATATTAAGTGAGTGTCCTTTGTCCTTGACTTATTTTCCTAATGCTTTAAGGTTTCACATTATAGGGTCGCTCTGGATTGCACTTTTCTGATTGCACTTTTCTGATTGTTGAATAATAGCTTGTGCTATAGATACACCACATTCACCTATTATGCAGCTGATGGATATTTGTGAGGTTTCATTTCTTGGCTGTTATAAGGAATGCTTCCATGAACACTTGTTGCTAAGCCTCCATTTTCTTGGGTATCCATTTAAGAGTGAAATTGCTAGATCTTATCAAATTCCATTTTTTTTTTTTTTTCGGAACCAGGGATTGAACTCAGGTCCTTGTGCTTGCCAGGGAAGCGTTTATTCCACTGAGCCATCTCCCCGGCCCCTCCATGGTTTTTAAATAGAATCTTTTAATTAAAATTTATCATGCACTTCTGAATAGCAAAAAAACTTTATAATAAATGTATGGTTTTGGATTTTTTTTTTTTAAAGTGGGGTTGAGACAGGGTCTCACTGCATAATTCAGGCTAGTCAAGTATATTATGTAGTCCAGGCTGGGCTTGAACTCATGATGATCCTCCTGCCTCAGCTTCCTGAGGGGGGCCTGCCCCTTAGCTCAGTTCTTTAAGTGGCTGCTTCAACCAAGCAGTCAGGCTCAGGTTGCTGTGGTTCGATCCCCACAACTCAAGTCAGCCAAACCTGCCCTGAAGGCATTCGGAGAAAAAAAAAATCCTTCAGCCTCCTGAGTTTGACTTTCTTGTTGATTGAGTAGAAATATTTTCCCAAATATTACTAAAGTTCTTTAATATCATCCTCATTACCTAAATTTAGTTCTATGTATTCTACATTTTGTTATACCAGACAATCTTTGTATAGAAGATGAGGGATATATTTGGATTTATTTTTCTATTTCCTGAAATTTTCTTTAAGTACTTCTTGTCTCATTTCATAGCAAAGAACTAGAGGGAATCCTGTGCCTGAAAGTCTTGTAACATATAACAGGAGACCTGAGACTCAGCCATCTCTTGCCTGTGTACCTGGGCAGACCCGTTAACCAACTGGTAGTTTCTTGATATAGAAAGGAACACAACCATTCCTACCTCACAGGGGATGTTATAAAAAGCAAACACCGTGAATATAAGTATGTTCTACAAATATCAAAATTCTTTACATACCTCTTAATTAAGTAATTTCCACATCAAGTAATTTTATGGATATGGAAAGCTGGTTCAGAAGCCACGAAGAACTAGAAATTATAGACTCATTTCAGTAAGTCATACTGAATAACTGAATAATTTTTGTTTGTTTGGCATTGCAAACATATGAGATAAAAGGCCATAGCTCCAAACCAGAGGGGCATTTCGCATGATGCTGTGTGTGTATAGAAGAGATGGAAAAATGGGATACAAAGGAAGGACCATTTTGTATCTGTATGTACAAAATAGTTAGGATAGATGTACAGCTACTTTCTCTTAATTCAATGAGAAGAAAGATTTGTACTGATAGTATTTGGACAGGATATCATGTCTGCACTTTGTACAATGAATAACTACTAAGAAGATAACAATACACAATGTAATAATTATTTAAACTGTCCTATTAATTGGTTTTATTTTTAAATTTATTGTTTTTTTTTAATTTTTTAATTTTTTAATAGATCGCAAATTGAAAATGAATTATTTACAAACATAACTGAATATAACAACAAAAACTGTCCAAAATAAAAATGAAGAAAGAATTTACAGATCAGTCATAATAGTTCACTGTGTCAAAACCAAGAAACTTATATTCATATAATTAGGATTCTCAAAGTAGAAAGGAGTAGGCAATAACTATTTAAAAATTTAAAATTTCTGAATTTAGTTCAACTTATAATACCACATTTCCAAGAAAAATGAACCTTTTGCAAAGACATCTAAAGTGTGTAAAAAACTAGATTAATTAAAGGACTGAAAGAAAAGATCTGTCCTCTTTGAATTTTATACTTAGCAAACATATCTTTGAAAACTAAAAGTAAGATTTTCTAGTTATACAAACTTGAAATATTTTAATATCTCCAGAAGTAGCATATAGGAAATAACAAAGAGCATAATTCAAAAGGCAGGAGAAGTTGCAGTATGCTCCTGGATGAACAATGAAGAGCTCTCAATATGATAATTGGTTTTGAAACTGTCTCATTGCTGTTTCTCAATACAATTAATTTAAAAAAGAAAAGAAGAGATGGCACAGGTATGTTTTGCTTTTAGTGAACACAAGAAAATTGAGTTTGTTCCCACAGTGTCCATGGTTAGTTTCTATGCTGAAGGATGACTAATTTATTATATTAGTGTTAAAGTACAAGTATCTGTAGCTATAATGAAGATGCCAAGATTTAAGTGCTGAATACATTGGAAGCTTAGTTCTATAAATTTATATAACAAATGAGGAAACTGACAGAACAGAAGACAGCCCACAAGGTGCTGAGGGTGACTTGTGGCTTTCATACAGATCCGAAGTGATGTTGGGGAGATAGCGAAACAGTTTCTACATGGAAACAATCAAAATTTTTGCTGGAATTTCATTGTATTAGTTTTTTTTCCTAAAATTTTTGGTATCATATCTAAACTTCAGGTAGGCTAAATATTTATTTTTTTCAGCAGAGACTTCTAGACTATTTTTCCAGAAACTGTCCCTATGGTCTGGGAAATGTTGACTCTCCTTCTGGCACTGAGTCTGCCCCATTAATCCTGTAAAGCTGAGGTTGCTTTTCTATGTATGACACAGTATTAGGTTTTATGCTCAAAGCATTCCTTGCAGATTCACAAAAGACCCATTTTATTGCTCAGATGGGGTAGTTTGTACTGTCTAGTATAGCTGCTGTGTATATAGGAAAAATATGCAATACTTTCCAGAGATATCGATCAATTGTTTTATTGTGTCCAAAAAAAAAGAGCTACTAACAGCAGCCACACTAAAACCTCGCAGTAACCAAAGTTAGTTCTACTAGCACCTTCTTTCTGGCAGTTTGGCAATTGTGGTCTTTGAGATTATGACTCTGTCCCTTTGTGGAGATCAGTGCTAGGTTTGTGCTTTTATATTACAATGTTTATGTGGCACCATTTAAGTACAAAGTGCAATTTAGGGACCACTTAAAAGTGGAACCCGCACAAACTTCTCCTGTCAGATGCCACTAGTCTAGCACCCAAACACCATGCACAGCATTGTGGTGGCAGCAGTGAGCGACACCCCCTTCCAGCACCGCCCTGCTTGCCTGTGTATGGTATCTGGAGCAGCTGGAGGAGTGTGATGGTGACAGGAAGAGGAGGGAGAAGGAAGCAGCACAAGCGCCAGGCTGGGAGGAGGCCAGCCGAAGTTGTGCAGGGCAAGCCTGAACGTATCACTGGTGCAAACCCAGGCATCGTTGATATTTTTTAATAGGAACATCTGGTGGAACCTCATGATGGGGTCTTCAAAAGACTTAAGTAATGGAAAAGGTTGTCCTTTTATTATTATTATTAGTTTTTAATCTACTGACGAGTTGCTCCAGTAACCCAAGGAAGTGAAGGAGAGAGCAGCTGCCTCACCACCCAAATATTGATTGGTTTAGATGTTTCAATACCTCATGATACAATAAAACGACAAAAATTTTCTTAAAAAAAGTGGAACCAGACCACAGTGATGGACTTTCAGCCTGATGTTAACAGTGGAATAAAGTTGTAAGGTTGTATTTAAGCAGTAGCTAATGAACGATCACTAGGTAATATCTGTAGCAAATAGTAATGGAATCACAGATGTCCCCAGAGGTTCACTAGTCCATCCACTTGTCTCTGCTCCGAACCACTGAAGCCATCTCCACACCTGAGCATTTCCATACCAGTAAAGTGCTTTCCTGATGGGTCTCTGGCCTTTCCCAGGTGTTAATATTCTCTATCAACACCTCCTCTGACCTAAAGCTCGTGAATCCTGGAAGGCTTCAGTAGCTGTACATAGAAACCACTCTTATCAAGTTCACCCACAAAACAGAAATGTGGTAGTCAGCCAGCAGCTAACTATGAAGGGGAGAGTGTTCCCAGCTAGATGAATTTCACAGACTTTCCTTGATTTGTTTTTCTTTTTGAGACAAGGTCTCACTGTGTAGCCCAGGCTGACCTTGAGCTCACAGCAACCCACCTGTCTCAGCCTTCTGAGTTCTGGGGTTATTGGCATGCACCATTGCATCAGACTTCCACATCTCTTGGAGTTTAGAGTAGACACATATGAGGTCGGATTGGTGACACAGAAAGCAGTTCCTAGCTGTCTGATACCTACTAATATTTGCTTTAGGCCTCTGCATTTTCCTGTGACTTGTTTCACTTTTTCAACAGTGTTTAAAAATAAATTTACATAACTGGCTAAAACCTATAAAGCAACCTTTACCTTTTGCTTGTTTTTTTTTTTTTTTTTTTTTTTTCCAGTTACTTGGACATAGGCGATATGAAGAAAAGACCAATGGAAGTTGTTAGCACGGAGGTAACACAAATTCCACTTTGGGGGCTAAAATACATACTGCTGCCTTTCTGTTCATTTCTCACAGTGTGACCCAGGGTTGCACGGTGTTCTAATCATAGGAGACATGGTCACAAATGCATATGAACGGGACAGTAAATGTTTTATGGAAAAAAATAGTCTTTTCTTTGGCCTATTGTCATAAATAAAGAGACAGAATGGATGTCCTTACACATGCTACGTTAGAGGAAATCTTTCCCATTTTTAGTTGTGTGCTTTTTTGTTGAAGTCCACAGAAAATTTCCCTGTCAAGTAGAGGGATATTCTAAGCACTGTACCATAAATCTTTACCAAAGTTGGACACCACTTCCTAGCTTGTTTCTGACTGTACAGTGTTTGAAAGGACCGCGATCACCCGGATTGGACCAAGGCTTTGCAAGGAGACAGGTGGACTCCTGTTGGCCCTGCTGGGACCTCAGCAAAATGCTTCCATTTTCACTTATATTAAAGTGCACCTGAGCTTAGCTAGTGAAGGCTGGCACAAATTTGGGGTGAATCTTTCTAAATGCAGACCCAGAACACCACAGTCTACCTAGCTTTTGAATCCTTAGTCCCATAATTCTTCAGGATGTAGTCCTTAATTTGTACATGAAAAAAATTTATTGAATACAAAATTTATTGAGTACTCACTAAAACATGGCAACAGTGTCATGTTTTAGTGAGACAGGGAGTTGGAGTTAGGTTCAGACAGGACTCTGTCTCCAAACCAGAGGCCAAGCTTCCCATAAACTAGTACTGCTTCTGCATGGAAGACCGGCCAAGAAAGAAACAAGAGGGAGGAAAATCATTTTTATCATTTGTAGTCTGAACACCAGAGAGATTGTCTTCACCACTTCTTGGGTCCTTTCCCATCCTGCTGATGCTCAACAGAAGCAAGTATGGCCCTCTTTAAAAGTCACCTAAGAAAGAATTCTTATGCTGTTATATTTGAAGACTGTGAGGCCATATTGTTTACCCAAGTAATTGTGGAAAGAGCTGATGTTCCCACACCTTGTTTAAAATAATGAATATTTTGTTTGTCATTTCAATTCTCTAATAAGTATCATACTGATTATCCATGAAAATGATAGGCTATTTAAAAGGTGAAAGATGTATACGATCTGAAGAGAAACCAGAGGATAATAGGCTATTTATAACTTCAAGTACACAAAGGTATATGTTGTGCTTACTTTGCAGCTAAAATGATCACTAGTTAATATCTGTAGCACATAGAAATACAGGGTTGATTAGTAGATTAGCTCTGGATATGATTCTGTTTGAAGGGTGCACACCACTTTGAAGCAGGCCATCTTGCATGAAGTTGGGGTAAGACCTTGATTTCTGCAGTAGAATTTGAGAAGAGTAAAATCCTAAATTATGCAAGCACAGGATATTTACTCTGATTTCCAGTGCCTTTGATGAAGACACCGCCTAGTAAAGTGTCAAGGTGTGCAACACATTTGTTGAAAATGCTTTTTTCTCCACAGAAGATTATCTTTAGTAGCAGAAACATTCACAAGGCTTGTAGTTCATTGAACTTGCGGATCCTTCTTCTGCTGTGGGGAAAGTAGCCACTGTTTTCTCTTTACTTCGGGCTGATGCATGAACCACATACACACTGTTCTGATTTATGAGCACAAATCTCAAATGTGAGAAACTCACTCCTTATCTCTAAATAAAAGACTTTATCTCGCGTTTGGTTTCTTACTGGTGAGTCCCCTTTCCTCTTTCTGTCCTGCTATTGCTTTTCTTTCTTCTCAGCACTTCTCCACAAAGCCTTTTAGTGGGGTTGAAAGGCCAGAACAAGTGTTGGGAGCAAAGACAAGGGGATAGGAGAGAAGCTGCGTGAGCGTGCTTTTCGACGTGTCCTCCTCCGTGCCTGCTCTCTCGATCTCCTCCACTCTTTTCCTCTTGGTCCCAACAAGCTGTGGGCTCACTTTGCAGTGCACACAGCTGCACTGGGGACCTGTTCCTCAGAGCCTACACCCTGCAAGTCATCCTGAAGCCATTTTCTGAAAGAGAAGCCCCTAATTTCATTGCCAGAAAGGAAGACTTTGGGTTTGTGTCATTCCCAAAAATGTAACTCTGAAAGCATAGGTCCCCCATAGAAATTCCATTTCACTATTGGGCTCCACAACCTGGAGTCCCTGTATCTGTGGTCTCACACTCTGTGGTTTCAGTTACCCACAGTGAACCTTGCTCTAAAACTATTAGATGAGAACTTCCAGAAATAAACAATAGACTGAACTATATTTTTTGGTACTGGGATGTGAACTCAGAACTTTGCACTTGCCAGACAGGTGCTATGCCACTGAGCTATAGCCCCAGCTCAATAGAATGAACTTGGGGGATGTTCTAAGTAGAGTGATGACATCTTGCTCAGTCCTGCCTGGGTCGTGAATTGTTCCTTTGTCCAGTGTATCCACCCTGAGTATGCTGCCACAATTTTCCCCTAGATATGACCATCTCTTACATTAATTTTTGGTCCAAAAGATGCAGTATGGTTTATTTTCAGAAGATGTCTTATTTTTTCATGTACAATAGTCTACATTTATTCATGTACAAAAATCTACATTCACATATAAAAATCTACATTCATTCAAATATAATCATGTCATCTTCTCTAGAACATTGCCAAAACTCTGCACACCCTGAATTCTGGCCTGAATTTCTTATGATTCCATTAGAACCCCTGGCCCCAAACTCTCACATCTCACAAGGAAGCTCTCCATAAATGAGCACTTCTTGTCCACACAGTCTGCGCATAGTGCATCATTATAGCACATGACATGGTGAATTATGAAGGCTTATACTAGACGCAACCACAACCACTTGTTATCAAGCATGGATGTTATTTGTGTGTTGGGTCTGTACTCCAACTGGTCATTTGGCAATAAGTCTCCTGTTCATCTGTTTACGTAAGGATTTGCCTTTTGTCCAAAGGCAGCAACTTGGATCGAATGTTTATACATAATTATAACTCACTTATCATTTGTTGTAGATATCAACACCAATAATGTTATTTATTAATTTGCATTTATTATTGTTATTGTTATTATTATTATTATTATTATTATTATTTTGGTATCAGAGATGGAACTCAGGACCTTGCTCTTGCGAGACAGGCACTTAGGCCACTGAGCTATATCCTTGGCCCAATATTATTATTTTATAACTGAATGTGTCCATTGTGTGTTGCAATGGAAGTACTTAAAATGTCTGTGTGGTTGGTGATCTTAACTGGGGCTTGTTGTGGGGGTAGGGCTTATATGGGGGTAGGGCTTATATGATGAGCATCCTGAAAAATAATTGTAAGGTTTACTTTCCAGTTAGGTCTTATTTTGGGGGAAATATGGTGCCTGCCACTTCTTGGCTGTCAGATGGACTGTTTCTGAATGCTGCTTACATGAGTAGCAGGGCTGGTGGTTCAGATGGTCCAAAGAGTAGCTGTAAAGTATGTCCTATAAGTGAAAAGGTGAAAGCCATCTAACAGTATTATGTGTTGTGGTAATTTTATCATTTTATTATTATTTTTTACTGTGCCTAATTTATAAATTGAACTTTATCATAGTTACGTACGTAGGGGAGAAGTGGTAGTGTACATAGAGTTGGGTTCAGGCATCCTCGGTGGTTGGGAAAATATCCCCCATGGCTGTTCGAGGCAGAGTGTGAGAGCAAAAGGCTTGTAGGCTTCCCTGAGAACCTGGCTATTGCTTGGGTACTATAATTCTTGAGGAAATACCTCTCTTTTTTTCTACAAGCAATTTACAATCAGGCTTTTGGGATTCAACAAGTTTATAAGTTAGAGGATTATGCTCGAAACTTGAGAGCAAATTGGCATTTTACAAAACTAAGGCTTCTCTTTTCTTGATCTAAGTGAGGATTTCCTTTAAAGCATTAATGTCTACTGGGAAGAAAACTCAGTACAATGACTTATAATCACTTATAAGGAGAGGATGTCAGAGAATTATTTTTAAGTAGATGGTCCAAACACACAGAATTGGAGGGTTCAGAATGGGTTTCCAGGGGATGTTCAGAGCAACAGTGGCAGGAATGTTTTTTCCAAAGATACATTATTATAAAGGACGAGTAAAATTACTTTTTCACTAAAATAGAAGTGTTTCCCTCAGGACTTTGGTTTTCTTGTGATGAACTTGAATAATAAAAATCATCACACTGGTATACATGATTCAATTTTCCTAATTGCTTAACACGTATTTATTCTAATTATTCCCAGTATATTTTATGACAGAAAGTCCTTTGCCTTCCTGTAGGGCTGTGTAGAACATGTGGCAGGAAGTCCTAGCCACCTTGGCGAGGAACCTGCAGCGTATTCTGGGAATTGCCATCTCTTCCCTTCTCTCTGAACTTCCACACCCAAGTCTATGGCACATCTAAGACCTACTTTGTCAGTAATCATTTGGGCAGAGCAGTGCCTATCTGCTGACTGAGAGTCATGGCAACAAAGGTGTACTGCCATATGGGCCTCTGAAACGTTTTGTGGTTCTTGTTTTTCCGTTTCTGTTCCATGTAGCTCATCTGTGAGGAGACACTTAAAGGACAGCCAGTCCTACGCCTCTTCCTTTGTGACCCCCTCATGGAACCAGAGAAAGGCAAGCCTGGAGCTCTTCCATTCATCTAAGAGGAACATGTAATGTTATCTGTCAAGTACTTTGTTGGCAGAGGAAGTGAGGGAGAAGGAGTAAAGTGAGAAAAGAAAAACACAGGAATAAAAGAAACAAGGCATCAGGTGACGGTGCTGGCTCACATCTGCTTCAGAGTTAGGACACTGCTCTAGCTCAGGCCAGAATTCCCTGTGCCACCCCTCTGTACACAGTTCCTGCCTTTATGAGTACCTGGTAAGGAGACGATCTAGGCTGCTCTGTGTTCTCACGTTGCTCTCTCCTCTCAGCCCAGTTGCATATCTTACTCTGTGCTCTCTTGTTCTATCGAAGTCAACTTGCCAGCTCCTTCTGCCCTTCCTT